GAGACCCTGTCTCAAAGGGTGGGGTGGGGCAGATATTTAGCTCAGTGGTTCCACCGCTTGCCCCATAAGTGCAAGGTCCCAAGTTCGATCCCCAGTACCAAAAAAAAAAAAAAAGGGAATTGCAGTGGGAAACATTTGAGAGGTGGGAACCCATTGCTGTGGGCACAGAAGAGAGCTGGCAGCTGGGAGTAAGAGGCGGGCTCTGTCCTGACAAGTGTGGACATTCCCCAGAAGCACTTGCCCCCCCCTGATACTACCCCCCACAACCCCTCAACAGGAGTTAGGGTGCTCACCTCCTCAGTGGATGTTTCTTCCGGAATTGCAGTGGGAAACATTTGAGAGGTGGGAACCCATTGCTGTGGGCACAGAAGAGAGCTGGCAGCTGGGAGTAAGAGGCGGGCTCTGTCCTGACAAGTGTGGACATTCCCCAGAAGCACTTGCCCCCTGCTGATACTACCCCCCACAACCCCTCAACAGGAGTTAGGGTGCTCACCTCCTCAGTGGATGTTTCTTCCCTTATTCTCTTTTCTACTTGTATGTGTGATCTAGGACCCTCAGAGAACAGATGACAGAAGGCATCTCTCCCAGGTAACCCTTCTCTTCCGTCCCAGGAGGGTAGGCAATTCTCAGGAGGAGTTCCCACACCTCCATCAAGTCCCCATTCAGACCGGCACCAATGTTTGCCTCTGAGGACACTGACAGCTCACAGAAAGCCAGGCTGGTGCCCAGGAGGGAGGGCAGGTACTCCCCACCTCCCGCCTCCCCTGTGCTCCTCATCTCTCCCTCCTCCTTTCTTACCATTTTTTTGTACTTGAGGCCTTCTCCATGAGCACCGGCTCAGCTGGAAGGAGGGAGGCAGGAGTCTGGTGGGAAGCCTTGTCGAGAGACATGGCTTTAGAGGCTTTAAAGACTGTGTGATGATGAACGAGCTCTCTGTATGTTGGGGGATGATGGTGCCCAATGCTGTATGGTGGAATTTGATTTATTAAATTAACGTCAAACTGGAGTCTTAAAAAAAAAAAAAAAGATATCAAGGGCTGAGGTGCAGCTCAGTGGTAAAGCATTTGTCTACCATGCATGAGGCCCTGGTTCCATCCCCGGCATCACTCACGTACCTACACACACAAGTTTTTAGGTTTTAAAATGCTTATTTGACAAATAATTATATATACCGTGCTCAAATGTGATGTTTCGATCCCACATATACGTTGAGATGATTAAATCAAGGTAATTAATATATTTTTTAAAAATAGCTACTACAAAATTTAAAATGACACATGTGTTTGTATTTCTGGTACAGTACTGATCAAAAAAATTTAAAAGAAGGGCCAGGGATTCAGCTCAGTGGTGCTGCTGACTGCCTTACAAGCGCAAGGTCCTGAGTTTGATTCCTGGTATAAAAAAAAAATTACAGGTGACTGTATAATTCATCTACAACTGGTAAATAAAAACATTTTTATCTCTTCGTACTTCTCACAGGTGTGAAGAAAATGTTATCCAGAAAGGGGTTAAACTGGAACCAGGAGTCTTAAGTTTATCAACCTAGATAACAAGACAGTGGGGTCTCTTAAAAAAAAAGAAAAAAAGAATGAATTTATTCAAGAATGAGCTGCAGAGTGTAATGTGGAATATGCATGCCGTGAGAGATCACAGGCTTTAAAAGGTAAAATGAGGACACATAAATTGGGTCTAAAGTATAACCCCGGGCTAGTGGACTCAGTAACGAGGGTAGCATGAGGCTAAACAGGAATATGTACGTAGTCGCTTGGTAGACATCCTCACATTAGTGCTCTGTGTGTACGGCTATGGTTTTCAGAGTCTCTCATAGTTTTTATCATAGGTTTTATGGTCTCCCAACTCCTTGTCAGGGTCTGACGGGATGACTGTGGCTCTGACCACGCTCACTGGTTCTGGGCACAGCTGTTACTCTCTGGTCTATATGACCTTGCATAAGTCATCTGGCTTTCCTGGAGTCAAGTTTCCTCACCAGTTCTGTTTTCTTTTTGAAAGGCTAAAGGTATAGTGCAGTGGTAGTGTGTGTACTCAGCATGCTGGAGGGCCAGCCAAAAAAAGAAGAGTCATATATATTATATTCCTCACGATAAAGCATTTTTCTAGTACTACCGATCTTATGTTTAGGAGGAGATGCAATACATATACACCTATTATGTTAGGCAAAACAGAGTGCCGAAGAAAGGCAACACACCAGTAATTATTGTTATGTGGTCTAAAGCAGAGAAAGTACCTTATATGAATTAGGATATTCCTTTTAGCCCTCTAATTCCATTCTCTCAAGAAGTATTAATCACATTACAGAGGCACTATTACGTAGCTTAGCGATACATGGAATGGATAACATTCAACCAAGACTCCCCATGAGCACAATGATACTGAAGTAATTAACATGTCATTATGAAGCTCTATTCTATTTTACTTTAAGAAGTAACTTTGTAGCTACTTACTCAAATGTTTGAGCTTAACCAGGTTTAAATATTCTCCACAAAGCAATACATTTTCTTTATAAAAGGTTAACTTCGCACATAAATTAACACTGCTTTAGCAGAATACACTTAGCAAGTTAGGTTAGACTTTTGAAAGACTAACCACAGCACTCTTCTGGACATCACAAACAGGAAATGATGTATCAGGACAACATGTCGTGGTTATTTCACTGCTAAATGTTAACCTGGATGTGAATAACAATCACTGCACTGAGGTCAAACTCACAAACACCAAGTCCAACCTGTAGGTTAATTTACAATTATGTCACAACATATAAATATTATGATCTCACATGCAAACACACAATTCTACATACAAAGATTTACTTGTTCGCAGCACTCCCCGGAGGAGGAGGATATCCTCCTATTCAGAGTAAGAAAGATGGAATGTAGTTTAGCTATAGAGCACTTCCCTAGCAGCTGTGAGGCCCTGGAGAGCCAGCACCTTGGGGAACGAGCAAGGGAAACAAGCAAAACTATAATGTGTGTTGCACAATGACATTTCAATCATCAAGGACCACCTACACAACAGAGATCTGGTGAGACTGTACAGCCCAGTGACATGGAGCCATCTTAGTTTTGTGCAGGTATGCTCTACAAGTTCCAACAACAAAATCTCCTACCCATGTATTTCTTAGAATGTATTCCCATTAAGTGAGTCTACCTCCCTTTAGCTATAAGGGACTTCCTACCAGCACAAAGCTTGCTAAGAAATTCACATCAAAGCTTAACTGTTAAAGCATCCAAACCAGACCCTTATTTGTTCAAGGAATAAAAAGATTTATAGGAGAATACTATTATTCCGTCAGTACAAAGAGTAAAACGCCAAGGTTGCACTCCAAATCATTCTAGTCTTCCTCAGTAACTGTTTGTTGGTTTTGTTTTTGGTGCTGCTGATGCTCAAACCCAGGCAGGCCTGCATACGTAATAGCCTAGAAGTACTCTACCACCCAGTTAAACTACATCCCCAGTCGCTCCCCGAGTAACTACTGTATTAAACAGCTGCCAATGTTATCTGAATCTTCATAGCTCCTTCTCATTCTCAATCTAAGGTCAGATTATTCTTATGCTTCCTAAAAACTGTAATTAGAACTTAGTATTTCCAAAGTTTTTAGAAATAATTTTGAGACAGGCTCTCCAGTTTCACTGTTCTGGAATTTGGTGGGAAAGTTCATGCTTATGATCCACAGCCTGCATGAATGTTAGGGTTTTTCAGTCACAGTCCTTCTCGGTTCTTTCCAGAAAAAAAGAAAGTCAAACAAGTCTTATGGTACAGGAGAAAGACAAATGCATGTGGACTTGGGAGATGTTGTTTCTAGCCTCAGTTCAGTCTCTTCAAAGAAAATGAACTTCTGTGGACCTTTATGGAGCCTCATAAAAACAAAATGGGATGAGATGTTCTAGAAATTCTCACTGAAATCAGAACTACTTTTGGTTTTAACCTGTTTCCCAGTAGCTTGTCATTAGATACCCTTTTCTGGTCTTCTCCAAGTCATCACACATTTCTTTGTTGAAGAAGTTTTGTTTTTTGTTTTTTTGGTACTAGGAATTGAACAAATTCAGGGCACTGTACTTGCCGTGCAAGCATCGTGCGGCTGAGCTATATTCCTAGCCCTAGTTGAAGGACTAGTAATATGATTGTTCAATAAAAGTACATTATAGTGGTGTATGATACTTAGTTACTTTCTCTTCGCTGAGACACAACACCCAACACCCACAGCTCTAAAGAGAAAGATTTATTTTGGCTCACAGTCTGTAGAGGTTTCAGTCCACAGCTAGCTCCAAGGCAGGGTAGATGGCAGGTGGTAAGGTATGGAGAAGCAGAGTGCGATCAAGGGGGAGGGAGAGACACACCACCCTTCCAGGCCAGGGCCCCCAGCGACCACCTAATCCAACCAGGCTTCACCTCCCAAATCACATCAGCTGCAAACTCATTAGTGGACTGGTCCTCTAATGAGTATTAGGCCCCCATGAGCCAATCATCTCCATAACACCCCAACGCAAGACACTTTCATAACTAGGACTTTTATTCTGAATCGTAAACTATTTCTGAAAATACGGGTTCATCTTCCATCAAGAATTTCTCCCCAGGGTTGAAGGTATAGCTCAGTTGTAGAGAATGAGCTTATGGAAAACACTGAATTCGAGCCCCAGTATCAAAAAATAAAGGAATTCAGACAGGCGTGGGGGAACACAGCTGTAATCCCAACACTCGGGGAGGATGAGGCAGGATCACAAGTTTACAGTACAGCCTGGGCAACTTATGAAACCCTGTCTCAAAACACAAAGTCAAAAAAGAGCTCAATGTGAAACCCCAGTAGTGCAATTAATTATTTTCTCCCTGAATCACGGGAGAAATGGATGAGAGAGGTGAACGGGGCCCAGGTTGACGGGATGGGACACAGATACACGCTGGTTCACTATTCTCTCCTGTCTCAAATTCTCCAAAATACAAAGCTAAAACATACACACGTCACTTTTAAAGAGAAAAACCAATACCTCACAAGCCTTATTACAGGGTTTTGTCCATACAGTCTTTGGTTTAAAAGTGCTTTTCACACCATTTTCGTTAAGTTGAGATAGAATCTCCAAGACGAGAGACTAGGCGGGGAGGTTCTCAAGTTCAGCCAAAATGAAGCAGAGTGAACCAGAAACAAAATTCTGCAAACGACTTCAAGGCCTCCGACTGGAACATCCCCGGCAGGGAAGGGCAAGGGCCCCGCCGGCGTGGGCCACACGCGGCTCGCGGGCTGTTACTTCTGGTCCACAAAAGTTGAAGCCCTCCGCGGGACGGAAGGTGCAGAAATAAGCAAGAAATAAGGCGGGAGGGTGCCCGGCCGGGCGCGGACGCCGGCGCCGAAGCCTCTGGAGG